AGGAAACACTCAAACATGAGCCCAGTGTGTTAGGCTGGTGGGTTTATGGGTCCTTTTTTTCTATTTTCAAAATTTTCTGTCCTGTTACATTTAGAAGTCCACAGAACACAAAAATCTTCCCCAGATGGAAGCCAGTGTGCCACTTAGAAGGAAACCCAGAAGAGAGTCACAGAAGAGAGACTAGAGACAATGGTGAATGCAAATGGGTACCTTCTTTCCCCAACTGCCGCCAGGATTCACAGGTAAAAATGGAGAGAGAAGGATAAGCATGAAGGAGAGAATGGACTCAGATCCTAGGAGCACACGAGGGATCGGGAAATGGAAAGATATGGTTCTGGGTGTGAACTTCCTTTTAGGGCCCTTTGATTATAAAGTAGTTTCAGCTTTTGAGTTTGGTCTGAAAAAGTCAAGCAAATCTAGGGAATCACTGAGTAATTTCCCTCCTGTTGTTTCTGTATCAGACCGCTTCCTGTTTTGCCAAAGAAGACAATTTCTCTGCAAAAAAGATAGTATATGTTGGGTGGAGGCATGAAATCCAGAATCCTAAAACCGAGAATACGATGCTGCTCAGATGTCTTAAGATTCTGGTCCTATACTTCTTCTTCTTCTTTAAGGTTTTATTTATTTATTTGAGACAGAGAGCTTGAGTGAGAGAGGGGAAGCAGCAGGCAGAGGGAGGAAGGGAAGCAGGCTCCTCACTGAGCAGGGAGCCCGATGTGGGGTTCAATCCCAGAACCCTGGGATCATGACCCAAGCCGAAGGCAGATGTCCAACTGACTAAGCCACCCAGGCGCCCCTGGTGTTATACTTTAAAGACATGTTACCTCCAAGAGCTGCATGTCTATGAACTGCTGACCGAGCCCCATCTAAGTTTTTGCTTTCCAACATGGAACGAGCACTGTGTAAGCACGAGAGTTTTAGTCTGACCTGACACATGGGCGTGATAAATGGCAGCGTCACCCAAACTGGAAGCTGTTTCTTAACTTGGTATGTAGGGAGTGAGCCTAAGAGCCCTGCAGGGCAGCCCCAGAGACCCACATGCTGGAAAACCACCTCTGGACCACTTTGGACTCCGATCTCTCTTCTGTTTCCAGTTGCTTAAAAATGCAATTCTGAACAGAGATGATGATATGCTTTGTTTCTAGATACTAAAGAACTCACAGTTACAAGCACCTTTGTACAGTCTATTTAGTATAAGTCCCCTAAAATTGCCTCCTTACAATCACACGAAACAGTTTCATCCCATTACATGATATGCCAGCAAACCAGGCAAATGCGTGGTCTCCTTTTGTACATGGGACAGATTATGTTTAGACACAGAGGGGAGATCTCAGCAGAGAATTACAATAATTTCCCATTGGATTTTTTTTCCTTTCTAAAACTGGCTTATTAGACTTGCACAAAAAAAAAAAATAAAATAAAAGAGTTAACACAGCAGGCATGAGGCTGCTATCATTAGAGGCCTTGCTTGGTGGAGGGGGGAGAACCACTGAGGAACTTGGCTTTCAGAGTGTGTTTCCATTACTAACTGATAAGGTCCTTTCACTGGGTGTAGGCTGGTGTGATTTATGGTGAATGCTTGCTTTCCTTTTGACAGTCTGGAATCCGAGTGGTTCCCAGGTAGAGAATGCCTATGTAACCAGCCCCGATAAAAAAACCCTACACTCTGAGTCTCAGAGGGGCTCCTCTGGGCACAGATATCACACACATGTTGCTGCATTTTCACTGCTGAAGGGAAGGTGAGCTCTGTGTGAGCTCTCATGGGAGGGAGGGGGCATAGGAAACCTGCAAATGGGTTTCTCCACACCCCACTTCCATCTTTTTCTCTTACTGAGCCAGCTGTGTAGGCTTCCTCTGTCACTGAAGTGAGTTTTCACCACGAGTACAGCTATATTCTGGTTTCCTTCTAGTGAATCATCAAATGTGTGTGCCGTCCTGAGGGGACCCCCAAAACGAAGGCTCACCAGCTGTAGATCCCAAAATAACATCCTCACTGCAACTTCCCAGGCGCTAAAAGATAACTACTCTCCCCAGGGCAGAACGCAGAGGTTATAGTTCAGGTGTACTTGCTCAAAGCCCAAGATTTTTATATTCTGGGCTTTAAAGATGTCAGCTGCACATGTGCCATATAATTACATACCGTCAGCCAATTTCTGGGGAAGGAAGTCATTATGCTGGTGTTCATATCCCTTGTTACATTTGTTTATGGTTGATTACAGACAGTAATCTTGTTTGACAGAAATACAGTAGCAACTCAGCTCACATTAGAGCCTGGCCATCGAAGCCCTCGTTCGCTTTCCATCGTTCAGTAACACCACGGGGCTGGGCAGAGAGGAGTTGAAGTGCAAGGTTCCTCGGGAACATGGGTGTCTGTCCCTGTGGTTAACTCACGGTCTCCCTTCTTAGTTGGAAACTACCCCCCCCCAACCCCCGCCGCTGCAAGGTGTCAAAATTAGACTAGCCCATATCCATCCTCCCCTGCTTCCTACAGTTAGTACTTTAATGGGTCGTAAACAACCCCATGCGCTAGGGAGCCAGGGGGATCACGATAAATAAGGTGCCAGCTGCGCTTAAGAAATGCACCACTTTATGGCTGATATGTAGGAATTCTCTGATGACTACGGAAGCCAGCTAGTCAGCTGTAACTCCCATACCCGCCTCAGAGTTCTGTTAAGAAGTCTTGCCTTCGGGACGCCTGGGTGGCTCAGTTGGTTAAGCAGCTGCCTTCGGCTCAGGTCATGATCCCAGTGTCCTGGGATCGAGTCCCACATCGGGCTCCTTGCTCAGCAGGGAGCCTGCTTCTCCCTCTGCCTCTGCCTGCCATTCTTGCTCTGTCTGCCTGTGCTTGCTCTCTCTCCCTCTCTCTCTCTCTCTGACAAATAAATAAATAAAATCTTTAAAAAAAAAAAAAAAGAAGTCTTGCCTTCTCCTCAAGATGCACTGAGTCTTGCTCAGGAGTCAGTAGCAAGCAGCCCTTTTTCTCAGAAACTGCTGCAAGCTTTACCCAGAAACCACCATCCCCCCTGCGGGAAGCCGCGGCCCATCTAACACACAGGTGGGCGGTGCGCACAAATTAGAGAACACTCGTTCTTAGCTGTTGCTTGCCAACAACCAGTTTGGCAAGAATCCTTTCTCCCAGCCATCTAACTTCCTCTGCGGCCACCCTCCTCTTACATGCGAGCACCTGAAATAATGGTGGCTGAGAAGGGGCACGGCACACATGCGACATGGGACCACACGTGGCATCCGCTGTAAGCCATGCGGCATCAGAACACGGGAAGCTCTCTTCATGTGCAGTCTCATGCTGAACCATGCCACGTGAGCCTGGTAATGTGCAGCTGCTCTGCCCAGGCAGGGGAGAGCCTGGGGACCCTCGCAGTCAGCTTGTCACCGCAGCCCAGACTGAGGCTCCGCAGGGCACAGCTGGAAAACCAGAGCACTGGTTCAAGCGTGCAAGGAGTGATCCTCCATTGAGCAACACGCCAGACACGGGAATATGGAAAGCTTCTCCCGTTTGAAAACATGGGTCTGAGAAATGAGGGACAGCTCTGAGCCTCTCCTAGCAAGTGATGTCACAACGAAGCAGGCCTGTGTGACACGAGCACATGCACACACATCAGACACCGATCCTGACAGCTCTCGACTGCAGCATCACGAGGGTCATTTGCTAGGATGAGGGTCAGCAAAGGTAATGATCTAAATGACATATATCCAGTCACTGGAGTAATAACCCTTCCTAACGCCTCTATGATTCTGGCTAGTTCCGGCCACTTTTGAAGTTATTGCATCCAATACTTTTGCAGGAGAAGAAGTAAACATTTGAATTCTCCCCAGACCAATATTTAAGTGTCAAGAAATGTTAGGGATTTTTTTTAACCTAATTTTAAAAATCGTCACATAATTTATCTGGAAGAATAGCAAAATATATTTTTTAAAAAGTTCAATAAAAATGGCTGTAGGGTAGATAAGGGCTTGATTTACAGTAATGCTATGATAATGAAAAGGGTGCTAAGGGTTTAGAAGTAAGAGATGAAATCCTCAATGGAACAAAACAGAAATCCTTACAACAAATCCGAACTATTCAACTTGCTAACCATGGGGGTGGGGTGGCAGGTGCAGATCCTACCTTACACACCACGCCAATTAGCAAGTACATGTAGGTTACAGATTTCAACTATGAAATTGAAACCATAAGAATGCTAATAGAAAACAGATGGGCTATTTTTATATAATATTTTTGATAGGGAAAGAAAGATGTTAGGCATGATACTAAAGACAGAATCCGTAAAAATTAAAGATCTGACCACATAAACTTAAAAAATACATAAACAGGGGCACCAGCCACCTGGCTGGCTCAGTCGTCGTGAGTGGTTGTGAGTCTGAGCCCCACATTGGGTTTCGAGATTACTGAAAAATAAAATCTTAGAAAAAAAAACAAACCCACAAATAAAGACTATATAAAGATTATATAAAGCCCTTCTTTAAAACTCTTCAGGGAAAATGAAAAGTATTGCTAACAACTTAAAAGACAAACAAACCCACTTTGAAAAATTGTTTGCAACCTAACAAGGGATTCATGTCCTTTATATACAAAGAGCTTACCAATCAGTAAGGAAAAGGCTACAGTAACAAAAGGAAAAATAGAGCAGAGGGTTTGAAGAGGCTAGTCCTAAAAAAGCAAATAAACATATAAAATATTTATGTATATTCATTCATCAGAGACTCAACAAAAGCAAATCCCACTTTGCACTTCTCGAAATGACACAAACTTCTACAGTAACACCCAGCATCAGCGTGATTCGGAAAGCTGACGTGTCCCTGCCTTGGATGTGAAGAAATCATTTTCATTCGGAGAAAAAAAAGATCAGGATTGTTAAGAAAGAAAGAAATTACTCTTTATTTTTTTAAAAAGTCCTGTACGGCTATGAAATGTCATGAGAGCCCTAAAATGTTGGTGTAAGTGCAGCTGGAGTTGGTGCTGAGAGCAGTAAACTGGTTACCTAGAGGACAGCTTGCATCCCTGTTGCAAGAAGGCGTGCAGGCTCCCGGTTGCCGCAAGTAATAGGCCCAGGTACGGAGGGGAAGGCTTCATCGGCCTAGAAGAAAACTCAGGATGGAATTGGACACCAACAAAATAGGGGTGATCTGAAATGAGAATAATCATGGTGTGACTGAAGCAAACACAAGAGCTGCTTTAACGGTCTTATCTTTGAATAAGAAAACACATCAAATGGTGAGACAATTAACCTGTTAACCATCACTGACAGTTACCTTCCCGAACCCTCTTCATGGCAGAATCTCAGCCAGCAAAGCACATCTCGCTTAGAGATCTGGCATTTCACCCGAGCAAGGTATTAGAGGGAGCAAAATTAAGCAACATTTTTGAACGGCAAGATGAATGCTGCTTTGCCCAAAGTGTGCCTGTATTTCGAAAGCCCTTCATAGACGTTTGCTGGCTCCATTTCCACGGTGCCCCTCACACGAGAGGCTACCTGTAGGGAATTCCGTCTCTCAGCTGGCTTCCAGCCATTTCCTACGAGGTCGTTTCCCTTCCCAAGGGAAGAGTGTCCTGGGAATGCAGCAAGTATGACTGCTCTTCTTGTCACACCTTTAGTTTGGATATTAACCAGAGCCAGCACCATGAAACTGAACTTGCACCCTTATTCCAGCCTCTGCCAACTGATCGCCTGTGAGGAAGAGACCCGGAGTGATAAAGGGTGGGCCTTTCTGCATGGTAATGGTGGTTACGGCTCCAGGTGGTTAAGAGGTCAAGATATTTTTATTTTCTTCCTTACACTTTTCCCTACTGTGTGAAGCTTTTCCATGAGCATATGTTGTTTACATTAATGGGGCGCAATTTGAGCAATTTTTAAATTGAGGGTTGTATAAAGCCCCTGAAGCTCTCCAAGATGGAATAGGAACAGAAAAGTAGCTTTACCCAGCTACTTTTAAACACACAAATCCCCTTTTGGATTAGAAAACATTAAATGGGCAACATTTCCAAATCTGGGTAGAAATCTCATAGGGTTGCAAATTCCTTCCCCCAGTCAGAACCCTCAAAAACTATGTTGGTTACCCACCACCCCCACCCCCACCGCCCAGATTAGGAAATAATTTTTAAAAAATAATTTTTCTATTTTTTATTAACACATAATGTATTATTAGCCCTAGGGGTCCAGGTCTATGAATCGCCAGGTTTACACACTTCACAGCACTCACCATAGCACATACCCTCCCCAATGCCCATAACCCAGCAGCCCTGTCCCTACCCCCTACCCCCAGCAACCCTCAGTTTTAGGAAGCAACTTCTAATTAGAAATCAGGCAACTCTCTAATCCCATAATTACTACTGTGCAGAGTATGGTTGGTGCTATAGTCCATACTTTAAAAAAATCCTTTTAATTGCTATGTATATCAATCCAAAGATGACAGAATATAGGTTTAATATAGAGGTTTAATAGAGGGGAGTAAATATAAGTTTAAAGCTTTCAATGAAATGCTTTATCAAATGATCTAAAAACCTAGGGTGGAATTCAAAATCACAAATCCCCATCACTTACCACTGGAGACCCAAAGCTCCTACTACAATAGTAAGGAAATGATGACTGAATGGAAATGCCCACTCTCGTAAGGTTATCATTGAAAGCTCTGCTATACAAAATGGTAGCTCTTAGCCACATGCGGCTATTTAAAGTTATTCAAATTCATTGAGCACATATCAAGTGTTCAACAGCTACACATGGCTAGTTGCTGCCATACTGAACAGGGCAGAATAGTCCATCATTGCAGCAAGTTTCACTGGACAGGTCTGAGTCCAGAAAAATCCAGTGTAGAAATCCCATACCTCACATCTAGGAAGAAGCTTCCTTGACTGAGAGGGACACTCAGGGATGAAAGCTTGGTGAGGAGAATGCTACCTTCTCCCAGGAATGTGCCCCCTCAAGAGAAGAAGAAAAGAAATCATCCACTCTTAGAAAAGAAATGAAGCAATGTAGCTTTAAATTAAAGATCTGGGGATGGCTTCGAAGGACACAGTACTACCGCAGACAGAAGCTACTAAAGAATCATGGTCATGGCCAGGGACAAAACATTTGAATGAATGGACCACTGTTCTGAATCACTTTTCTCCAAGAGAATTCCTTATGCCAATATGAGGAAAGAAACAAAATAGTTGTTATTTTGATGGTGTTCTATCAGTCAGATAAAGTATCTTTTAAATAGTGCTCTTAATTGCTTTGAATCACATTCTGACATTATACTAATCTCAAACTTTGTTATTCCTTTTAGAACTCCTTGAGGAATGTAGAGATTCATGCCAAGTGCTTCTAAGGGGTAGCTAAGATCAGAATCTTCTGGGAAATTTTCCTTAATAAAACGAATTTCCTTGCAATCAGCTTTTTAAAAAGTGTCAGGATTGTACAGCGTCTCTCATTTCCTTCCCAACACGCATGAAATTTCAAAGTGTCAACGGGAATGTAAATCCAGGTGATGGAGAGGCATCTACGTATTTGCTCACGATGGTGACAGCCAGGAGACTTAAAGGAAAGTAAGTACTTGAATGAAGTAAACAGTCATCTGCTGAAGAAATTCTCTGCCCTCTCATATCCGATTTAAGAGACTCCAACCCCGACCAGTGATCCACACTATAAAATTCCTAAAATGATGGGCATTTCCATCAGAAAGGCTACAGGAAATACATCCTCATCTTTTAATTCAAAACTTCAGGCATGGACCGATCATCTTAGGTGACATGTGGGCAAACAAGTGGAACAGTAATATCCACTGAGGGCGTGACAGGACCTGGTTTGGCTCCAGCGCCCCTTGTGATGAACCGGACATCTCAGTAAAGTGGGAATGACATCAGCTGTCTTGTAAGTTGCATAAGGCATGCCGAGTCCCTAGCAAGGGGTCTAGGGAGAAGCATCTAGTGACTGTGCACACAGTGTCCACTGCTTTCCTTCTTTGAGGGTCCAGGTAACACGTCACTGCATTCAGAGATGCCTTCGCCAACTTCAATTCCGCCCGCTGTTCAGGACTCCTGAAGTACCTGAACAGACTTGGGACAGAAAAGGAAAGGGACAAAGAAAAGGAATTTGAAGTAGAGAATGGTGACATGGGCTAAGATGGTAAAAGAAGTAGGAAATTTAGAAGAGTAAGTCCAGAATATCTGGAGCCTAAAGAAGATAGGTTGAAAAGGTAGGTTCTAGGAAATCACGTTACCATTTTTATAGTATTCTGTACAAACTAAGCATTTGAGGGGCACCTGGGTGGCTCAGTGGGTTAAAGCCTCTGCCTTCAGCTCAGGTCATGATCTCAGCGTCCTGGGATCGAGCCCCGCATTGGGCTCTCTGCTCAGCAGGGAGCCTGCTTCCTCCTCTCTCTCTCTCTCTCTCTGCCTGCCTCTCTGCCTACTTGTGATCTCTGTCTGTCAAATGAATAAATAAAATCTTTAAAAAAAAAAAAAACAAACTAAGCATTTGATAAATGAAAGTGGTTTATCTGCCAAATTTGTGTCACGTGCACTGTAGATTTGTGACATATGACAGAGCCCTGTCCTCATTAGGAGGGGCTGCAGAGGGGAGAGCCTGGAGGCAGGAAGGAGCTTTAGGAGGATTCTGGGTTGGAGTCACCATGCGCTGGGGATGAGAGTGAGAGGGAAGGGAATACAATCCCAGCTCAATCCTTCTAGAGACAGAATCTACAGGACTTGACAACTGATTACAAGTTGGCAGTATAGAGGGGAAGAAGAACAAAATAAGGCCAATTTTAAACCTGATGGTCCAGGACAGTGGTTCTCACCCAGAGACGTATGTGCCCCTCAGGGACATTTGGCAATGTCTGGCGATGGTTTGGGGTGTTACGACACTGGGAGGTGGGGACGATGCTACTGGTGTCCAGTAGGTAGAGGCCGGGGATGCTACCAAATATCGCACAGCACACAGGACCGCCCCCACCACAATGGGGTGTGATGGGAATGACCCCCCTCCCGATGCCAGTGGTGGCGAGGGTGAGAAGCCCGGAACAAGGAGACTAAGGATGACTTAGCAGAAACATTTTGGGAAACATGTAAACTTAGTTTTAGATAAGTTGTGCTGGAACTGCTAGGAGAACATCCAGATAGACAAACAGGTCAAGCAGGCACCTGAACATGTTAAGTTCAAGTCAATTAAAGGAAGTATATGTGTGTGGGTTTACAACAGGGGTTAGCAAACACTTCTAGAAAGGGCCAGGTCATAAGTAATGGTATAGAAAGAGCTGGGATGAGCGGTAAGCGTGGGCTTACTATGTATTTGCAGCTCTGAGTGAGAATAGTGTCCTCTGTCTCATCAAAAACGTTGCATGGTTTGTGCCTGGGCTCTTGAGTGTGTCCCAGCCCACACACAAACAACTTCTTCAGCAATCTTCCTCAATGGAAGTCCCTACCCCTTTGTGCTGTGTTTGGTCTCACTAAGAACTTCTGTGGGTGCAGGGATTAGTGTTCAAAAGTTAAACAACTGGCCCACACTTGACCATGGAGCACAAGTGGTGTGGAAAGACAGACTCCAGGTAGAATGAGAGGCCAGGTCCCCCACACAACAGATGTCAAAACTGGTCATGAGTAGTGAGGAGGGCACTGGGCCATTTTTCCTCCAAAGAGGGAGAAAGCAGGGGAGCCTGGGTGGCTCCGTGGGTTAAGCCTCTGCCTTCAGCTCAGGTCATGGTCTCAGGGTCCTGGGATCGAGCCCAGCATTGGGCTCTCTGCTCAGCAGGGAGCCGGCTTCCCCCTTCTCTCTGCCTGCCTCTCTGCCTACTTGTGCTCTCTCTCTCTCTCTCTCTCTCTCTCTGTCAAATAAATAAATAAATAAATAAATATTTAAAAAAAAAAAAAAAAAGAGGGAGAAAACAGAGTGTTACTCAACAGTGGGCTGTCATCCTTCCCCAGAGCAAGTAACCTAGAGGCTAGCAACAGGAGAAGGCCCAGAAAGGGGGCAGGGATGGTGAGGAAGCATAACAGTAGCAGAACTGGTAGACTCAGAAAAATGTATCATTTTCTGGTAGATTCAGACTAGTGGGCCCCCAAATGAGGAGGATTATAAGTGGTCTGTTTTTCTCCAGTACGTTATATTTAATCATATTATTTCTATTTAGTTACGTATTTATTTCAAAGGAGAGAGGAAAAGAAGGAGAGCAAACAAAATGAGTGTCAACTTATGGCTTCACATAGAATGGCAAATTATATCTCCATCTGTAAGAACAAAAAGACGTTAGGTTACCATGAAAATTTTCAAAAACAAAAGAGCCTACTTACTTGCCAGTTCAATGATTTCCATCCTCTCTCCATCAACATCCTGACCTACAAAACTTAAGTCATTCTGCTCCAACTGACTGATCAGGCTCGGGTTCACCTGGAAAAACAAGAAATTACGTGCTTTGGGGCAGCAGAGCTAGACAGACATATCGTCTCATAGAAATGTCCTCCATCAATTGGGTGGGTTTTCCATGTCAGTGATGTTCTTAACTAGTAGTTAGTTTCTATATCCCACCCCCAAAGCTTTTTTTTTTTTCCCCAAAGCCTATTTTTAAACTCATGATGAACCTGAGAAACAGTCTAATCACAGTCCCTAAACCTGAGATGCCCACCTTCTGTTGCTCTAAGATGAGATTCAAAAAGCAGGACTGTGACACAGATATTCTGACTTGGAACCTTGAGATTAGCTATTTATAGCCGCCACCATATTTGTTTCTTCCCTTGAGTTATGTGTAATTAACTGTTTCTCCCCAAATCACAAATCTGCTTGAGGATTGAAACTATCTTATTTCCCTTGTGACTAGCCCCAAAGCTTTCTTCACATATATTTACATAAAACCTTTAAAGAGAAGCTTGAAGCAATTTTTCTGCTAGAATATTGGTTATAGATGACAACTCGATGGGCTGGTACTCAACCCCTTTCCTAATTCATCGCATTCCTGGTCCTTTCCCAAATTTTTCAGCCTCTTCTTCAAAGAAGGCACTAATCATCTAAATCAACCTGTCTTCCTCAATCTTAACCCCATGTTTTTATTTTCCTTTTTAACATTAGGCTAGTTCTCATAATTTGTCATTTTTCCTTTTTTTTAAAACAGCTTTAACTTAGATATAATTCAGATGCCATACAATTCACCCACTAAAAGTGTACAATGCAATGGTTTTTAGCATATTCACAGAGGATTTCAGCCATTGCCATGATGAATCCAAGAATAGGCCCTATCCCCTCTAACCATCATCTTTTTTTTTTTTTTTAAAGATTTTATTTATTTATTTGACAGACATCACAAGTAGACAGAGAGGCAGGCAGAGAGAGAGAGAGAGAGAGAGAGAGGGAAGCAGGCTCCCCGCTGAGCAGAGAGCCCGACGCGGGACTCGATCCCAGGACCCTGAGACCATGACCCGAGCCGAAGGCAGCGACCCAACCCACTGAGCCACCCAGGCGCCCCTAACCATCATCTTTTAATCCCCTCATCACCTCCCCACCAGTCCTAGGCAACCACTAATCTATATTCTGTCTTTTTCGATTTGTCTGTTCTGGGCATTTCAGTTAATGGAACCCTATAGTATGAAGTCTTTTGTAACTGGCTTCTTTCACTAAGCATCATGTGTTTTAGATTCGTGTCTCCAGTAGCACATATCAATATTTCACTTCCTTTTATTATCAAATAATTCTATGGATAGATCACATTTCATTTACCCATTCATCACGTGATGGACATTTGGGGTGTTTCCACTTTTTGTTTAACTATTATGGATAATGCTGCTTTGACCATTTGTATACAAGTTGTTGTGTGCATGCACATTTTCATTTGTCTTGGGTTATATATCTAAGGATGGAATTACTGGGTCATATGATAACTCTGCGTTTAACTTTTTGAGGAGCTACCAGATGGTTTTCCAAAGTGGCCGCACCATTTTACATTCCTACCAACAATGTATCCTCACCAACACCTGTTATTATCTTTTTTTTTTTTTAAGATTTTATTTATTTAACAGAGAGAGAGAGCATAAGCAGGGGGAGCAGCAGGCAGAAGGAGAGGGAGAAGCAGACTCCCCATGGAGTAGGGAGCACCATGCAGGGCTCGATTCCAGAACTCCGGGATCATGACCTGAGCCAAAGGCAGATGCTTTAAAAAGACTGAGCCACCCAGGCACCCCTATTATCTGTCTTTTGATTATAGCCAGCCTAGTGGGTATGAGGTGGTATCTCTTTGTGGGTTTGTTTTTTTTTTTTAAGATTTTATTTATTTGTTTGACAGAGAGATCACAAGTAGGCAGAGAGGCAGGCAGAGGGTTGGGGGGGGAAGGCTCCCTGCTGAGCAGAGAGCCCGATGTGGGGCTTGATCCCGGGACCCTGCGATCATGACCTGAGCCGAAGGCAGAGGCTTTAACCCACTGAGCCACCCAGGCGCCCCTCTCTTTGTGGTTTTGATTTGCATTTCCCTGATGATAAATGATGTTGAACACCTTTTCATTTGCTTATTGGCCATTTGTGTATCTTTTTTGATACACAAATGGCCAGAGAGCTGTCTCTTCAGAATCTTTCACATTATTTAATATTCAGTTGTAAGAATTCTTTATATATTCTAGATAGAAGTACCTTGTCTGATATATGATTTCATCTGTACTTATTTTATCTGTTATCTTGTTTTTTGTCCTGTCCATTAGAATATAAGCTCCATAACAGGAAAGGAACTGTGTGTGTCTTTCTTCCTTCCATCTCCAGAGCATATCAGATACAAAGTAAGTATGAAGCAATGGATGGCCACACCATTGTGTGCACACCAGTTCTTATACCTTCTGCCTACCACCTAGGCAATGCAGCTCAATAGTTTCTGGTCCCACCAGCTGGGCCAGTTCCCAATGGAAAGAAGACCAAAAATGGCCTATACTCGGCAAATTGTTCCCTAAGTGTAGTGACAATATTGGTAGCCTACCCAACATCAATTCTCATTGGTCCTCCCTCCAAACAGAACCCTGGACTTTTTCCAGCATTTATGCCACCCTTGCATGACCTGTGGGACTCCATCTTCCCCATTCTAGAAGTTGGCCCTGATTAGTCTAAGTCAAACATCATAAACCTATCCCTGTTAGCTGATGAATGATGCAAGAACCCAGGTTTAACCCTGCAAGAAACCAGGCTAACCCTGGTTTAGCTTTGCCCTTGCAATGGTTACTAGTTCATAGGTAGGCAGGTAATGTGTACTGATGCAACGAAACTGAAGAAAAACTTCCATGTCTAAAGATGCATATTGCCTCTGCTGCTGCTGGTAACCATCTTGCAACTAGGAGGGAGATCAGCCCAAGGGCAAGGCAAACACACGGAAAAAGGTAAGGCCAAGAGAATCCCAGAAATAGTAGAAGCCCTGACCATACCGTGCCTGCAGCCTACCCAGCCTCTGAACTACCTATCACCTGATATAACAAATTTCCTTATATTGGAAATATGAAATTTTTATATTTTTAAATTTTTTATAATAAATTTCCTTATATTGGAAATATGAAATGAAAAGGTGTTCAACAACATTTATCATCGGGGAAATGCAAATCAAAACCACAAAGAGATACCACCTCATACCCACTAGGCTGGCTATAATCAAAAGACAGATAATAGTGGTGCCTGGGTGGCTCAGTCTTTTTAAGCATCTGCCTTTGGCTCAGGTCATGATCCCGGGGTTCTGGAATCGAGCCCCTCTGCTAAATCTGGCATGACTCCCCTGCGCCCGATGGATACCACCGAGCGGGACACCTTTTCCAGATGTCCACCAGTAATCACCGCAGTTCCTCAAACTAACCATCTACATTCCACAGTAATTCAGCATGTAGGCCATACCTCATACCGATGTCTGTGTCTTTCTTCTATAAAAGGAACATCACCATAAAGTTTCCCTGTGAAGATACAAGAGTGAAATTAACATCCAAGTAATCAGCTTTGGAACGACATCCAGAGCGTATATGTGAAGGACGTCTCTTTGACCTACAAATTACCTGGACTGGTCCAGATAGTCATCTAGAGTTTCTTCTCCTACAGCACAGAACAGGAAGAGCTTCTTTGAAACTCTGAAGCAATTCCCAAGTACGCCATCAGCACGGCATAAAGGGAAACGGAAGCCCTCTGTTACACAAGTCACCATGGATTCCAACAGACAGGCCCTCCTTTGCCACACCTGCCTGCAGTTAAGGACCGAGAGGCGGAGGAACGTCTGAGCACCATCACTTCTGGGCAGACTCATAACAGGGCTCCTTTTCCAAAAGAAGAAAATGAAACCAAAAGAATGGAAATGAAACCGAAGGACTTGCCCAAAGCCTCAACCCCGCTGGCAGCACGATCTTGAGCCCAGACCCCCCCCCGCCAACACCTGGTCCGTGCTTTTTCCACCACACCAGCTGCTTCTGCGTACTGGCCAAATTAGTTTACACCCCCCCCCTTAAACATGGGCCTGTCCTCTGGCTCTAAAAATTCGGCCTCTAAGAATTCACCCCAGAAAACAGAAACGAAGACAGCAAGTTCACCACGAAGATGCATGCCACTTCGTTATTTAACAGTGAACAACGAAGCAAACTGAGCCCCAGAAATCAAAGACTGGCGGATTAAATGAAAAGCCCTGCCAGCAGCACCGGGACACATTGTCCTACTCCAGCAGAATCCAGAGCAGTGCTCAGTTCCACAGGCAGGGGACTGTCAGACCCTCCAAGACACGCCATAAGGCTGTGGAGCAGGATGTTTGTGTCTCCTCTGCGCTTTTGACTTGGATAAAGAAAGTGCACATCGGCTGCATTCTGCTATGACTTGATACGATCATTTATCACGACCGAACCTCTATTTTGTCCACGTAGACACAGTTCCCTGGGGACAATGTTAATCATAGTGAGTATCTGCCACAGGTGTTTTAGAAAAATTGGCAATAGTGGGGATAGGGAGCTACTCTGAGAGAGCTCCAACGTGCCACTGAGAGGGCAGTCATTCAAGGCAGAGCCTTTGTACTCAAACTATTGGTTCATAAAAATGAAAGGAAAAATGGAAACTGCGAAATAATGTCCAATTGGACAAAACAGAAGCATATATACCATTGCGAAGTTACGAGAAAAATCATTTGAAAGCTCTGGACCCAACTTGGAGAGGTTCCTGATTCCCTTATGACCTCTGACTTTGTGACTGATCTTTTCTTCCTATGGTCCAAAATTTCTTCTCTGCCTACTGCATTACAACGGATGACTTAGACGTCCAATAATAGAGCCTGCCAATGTTAACAGATGGTGAAGAAAATAGCAAACATCTCCAAATTAAGATATAAGGAATTCTAACTTCAAGTCATCAGGACTAGCAGGATATTACACGACCTTTTGAAACTGGATGCTGTGTGCATACTACTGCCAGCTTAAGGCAAATTTTGTGTTTGCTAAGATACCTCAAGGGAGACAGGACAACAGGGCTGGTGTAGTGACGCTGGAACCAGGCCATCTGGCTCTAAATTGCACTACAGCATTGAATGGATGTGTGTCTGGGGCAAATTATAACAGCCCTCTGCCTCAGCCTTTTCATCTGTAAAATGGGCATGATTGATAGTCCTATTCCATAGGGTTGTTGTGAGGATTAAATAAAACACTTGGGGGGTGCCTGGGTGGCTCAGTGGGTTAAGCCTCTGCCTTCGGCTCAGGTCATGATCCCAGGGTCCTGGGATC